GTACAATTTTTGGCATTTGAGATTGGGAAGTGGGTCCTGTGTCTTCCTGCTCCCACGTGCAATAATGCTTCCTTCGCTTTCTCTAAGGGACTTACGAATTAATTAATTGGGATCTTAAAACTAATGTGCAAAATTTAAATATTGCTTAATAATGTAAAATGAGAGTTTGCCTTGCCTATCAGTCCATCTGGTTTGAAAGTTGCATCATCAAGCCATAGATTTAGGTTTCATCTCCTTTAAAAATAAGTTTAAGCATTGTTGATAACAATATGAACACATTAACATTTTATTACTTGAACTAACCCTAATAAATTTAATCATTGTTATATAAAATCTAAAATATTTATTTTGGTTTATTAAAATCAACAACTAATAATTGGTTTCGAAACACAAACACACACACACCGTTTTGTTTAAGTGTTTGAATGAATTAAGGGACCTTTAAATGTATAATATAATGAGTTGGAGTATCTTTATACTCTTTAATAATAAAATTTTAAATTTTTTTTATAGTTATAATGAAAGGATATTGTGTAGTATATCTTGCGTAAATTGCATAACTAGATGTCTCATTATTAATTAAGTGATAAAATTTCATATCGAAATATGATAAAAAAACATGTATGACTTAAATATAAAGAATGTTATTTTATCTATAATTAATTAGTTTTAAATTAAATATAAATCTTATATTGAAAGTTTTTTCAACCATGTTGCTTTCGAAAGGCAACCTACAAAACAGTGAACTTATAAGATGGAGAAACAATGTTAATTAGCAAAATCATAATTGAGGAAGGGTACCTTGCAAAAGGTAACGGGTAGGATTATGTGATGACTGGACTAACAAATATTAATGTAATCAAGTTGTGAATTGTTAATTTTGAACATTCACAATTGTTGGGAAGGGGGACTGGCGAATTGAAACCCAAACCCTAGACTGGATGAAACGCTCTTTTTGCTAGTTGAACTTAAAAGGCCAGGAGCGCGATTGTGATTTTTAAAGTACAAAACAAGTGGAATAAAAATTATGTTAACATAATTAAACTTTTACTCGACAGAAGGCACTTAACATGTTTTTCAAAATTTTCTTCATAATTATTATTAGTATGTCTTTAGTACTTTTGTTATAAAAAAACAACAAAAATCCTCAACATGCTGTTGTTGCTGAAAACCTTCAAGATCCTGCTTCGGTCTGATTTTTCTCCAAGTGGTCCTGCAAAATCCCGAGGATGGTCCTCGAGAAGAAACTCTGATGCTTAAGTCAGTATTTTTCTAATAATGTTTTCCTCTTTGTTCCGTCTATTTATCGTACCTTACCTTGTGGGCTTTATCCATCTTGGCAAGGTACCCACGTGGCTCGTCCGCACCCACGTGGCTTGGTCAACCCAATAATGGTGACATGTTGTGCCTGACGGAGTAGGCATTTTAGGTGAATGTAACGTGCCTTAACGGAACAACCGCATTAAATACGCATGTAACGTGCCTTAACGGAGCAACCGCATTAAATGTGAATGTAACGTTCTGATGGAGCATGTCCCTTGAGAAAGGGTGCTCAGGTAAGGACAAATGATCAGATGGGGGCGTGCCTATTGTGGCTACCATGTACTTACGGCGAATAGCCGAGGTGCAGTAGACTCTGAGTTCTGTGACTGAGGTGCAGTAAGCTCTGAGCTCTGAACTTTGCCTTGCGCCTCGCGTATAACTGCCCTTACACATGCATGTCGAAGGAAAGAGGAAGGGACCAAGCAAACACATGATTATGAGAGAGAGAAGCAAAAAGGGACACATACCCCACCATGTGACTCCAATTTTGGGACAAAGCAAACAAAGCTGGGCTCTTACAAACAGTCCACATGGGGCGTATGCACTGTGTTTTTCTAAAAAATTAGTTTAAATGCCATTTTTTTCTTTTGTCCCCTAGCTTTTTACTTTTATTCCAAAATGTTCTCTCAACTTTTTTTGATACATTTTTAATCACTCAACTCTCAAATTTGTTTTGAAAAAATTAAATGTTAATTTTGGTTGTAAACTATAAATTTTGCATTATTTTGGTCCTACAACTAATCATAAAAATCTATATTAAGGGACAAATTAAATCAATTCAAGGAAGCACACTTTGTGTGCGCATCTAAAAAAAAA